AGGGCACCGGTTCCATAAAAAGATGAAGTGAAGTACATTGGTTGAAAGGGATATGCAACACAAAATATAATGGTTGTTTGTGATTTTAACATGTGCTTTACATTTGTTTGGGCCGGTTGGGAGGGAACTGCACATGATACAAGAATTTTCAATGAAGCCTTACAAATATCAGATGTTAATTTTCCCTATCCAACGGGTGGTTAGTATTTTTTTAACACAAGTTTTATGTGTTTACTACTTGTTTGAAACGAATAATAAATGTTTGTTTTATTTACAGATAAATATTATGTTGTTGATGCCGGATATCCAAATACAAGATGGTATCTTGCTCCATACAAAGGTACAAATATTCGTTATCATTTACCAGATTTTCGACTTGGACACACGGCTGCTATTCATGAACCTCGTGGACCGAAAAAGAAATTTAACTATCTCCACTCATCATTGTGAAATATCATTGAACGAACTTTTGGAGTGTGGAAAGCTAGGTGGGCGTTATTAAGAGACATGCATGTTAATTACAAGTACAATAATCAAGTGAGAATTGTAATAGCATCGATGACGATCCATAACTACATTAAAAATGTTGGTAGGTCTGATGAAGCGTTTAATAGGGCACAACCGATAGTGATGTTTATGAAGAAGGTCCAAGTACATGTCGCACGAGTGACGATGATTTATATATGACAGCGATACGGGATATTATTGCACAAGATATAATCACATTGCGAAGATGAATGTAATATTATCTATGGTGTTTTTTTATGAATTATTTACAATTTGTATGAACATAATTTTAATATTGACATGGTCTAATCCAAAAAATTAGAAATATTTTAATTTATATGAACGTAATTTATATTTTATATTTTATATGAACGTAATTTTAATATTGTCATGGTCTAATACAAGAAGTCATCTTATGAATTATTTACAATTTGTATGAACGTACTAATTTTAATATTATCATGGTCTAATCCAAAAAATTAGAAATATTTTAAAAGAAAATTATATTTTATATTTTCTAATAAAATATTTACAAAATTATAATATGTGTTTAAAAATTTTTTATGTATAAAATAATATATGTAAAATAGTAAATCAATGTAAACTATAGAAGTGCCCCCGCTTTGCGGGGGTTGGAAGTCTTTCAATGAAAAATGTAGGGAAGTGAAAATGTTTATCATATGAATGTATAACAGTTTATACTTTGGGAATACTAACGAAATGGAAGGAATGGTTACTTCAATTCCATCCAACAAAAACAATTTTTTTTTTTCATTCCAACGGAGTCAATGATTCCATTCCATACCTTTAGCTTATTCTCGGCTTCGTAGTCACCAACTTCTTTCACTTCCGGTTTTTTCTCCACCCTAAAAACACCATCTTCCTCTTCTTTTTGTACCAGTTTTCCCTTTTTACCCTTCACGACACCATTCACATTCACCTTTTTATAGGCTTTATCTAAATAATACATTAACTTAACAAATTACTTAAGTATGTCACATAAGGTTCTTGAATTTGAGGTTTCTAAGTAATGCAACAGTGGAGATGCAAGCGAATCTAAAAAAAGGAGGAAAATGTGGATTAAACTCAAAAAACTGTGATTAATAATAGTATATCTGACTGAGAACAATATAAATATGATGTCTTTCTTCAGGTAACAAAATTTTTAGTAATGTGATGGTAAGAAGTGGATAGATTTGCCCCTGAAGATGCACACTTTATTCTCTAAAATAAACATATTACAAATGTATTGTTGCTATTGTTTTAATTAATTAACACTTAATACAAAAAATTTCAAATCTGCCCCCAATTCATTCTCCTCTTTAATTTTCGTCACATGTATAAATATCTTTTAAGAATCTTTTATTCAAATACTGAACAACACCTTAAGCAGATAAATAGTTAAATAACTGATGGGTCTTATACAAACAATCCTATGTGTGCATGCAACCATAGTATTGGATCTATGTTTTCACTATTAGTTATACAACTTTATGAACACAAAAAGAAACCTGGCATGCTACTATAATTTTCGAAATTCATATATAAAGCTAGAATACATACCTTTTGTTGTTATATAGCAATAACAACTAGTTCCTTGAATTTCCTTAGCTCTTGAAAGCAAGTACCACAAGTGTAGTACCTCTAATGGAGTCACAAACACCATATGCAACTTGGATGAAGAGGAGAAGAAAAAGAGGCACCAAAAACGGCTGGAAACCCTAATGGAAGTGTTGTTCTCGTTTTTGGGGCTTGAGGGTCCCTTTTATACATGTAGGCTATTAGGGTTTACAACTAGGAAACCCTAATCTGACTACTTAGGCCCTAAGCAGCCCATGGACTCCTTAAACATATCCCTTGGACGATTTCTAATGGGCTTCCCATAGAATTCGTTCAACCTATATATTATTAGGTGATCCATAGCCCAATTATAATTATCTTATAATTACAACTTCAGTCCCCTAAGTTTAATTAATCTCTTTTAACCACAAAATTAATTCTTAATTAATTATTGACCAATATTAATTAAACAATATGATTTCTCCTTTAATATATTATTCTCATAATATATTAATAAATCATGTTTAAACCTTTCTCTCCTTAAATCATCCTACATATTGCTATGGTGAAGGCAACCCAAAAGGACCATGCTCATAATCGGGTCAAGTACATACCAAAACAGTTATGGACTTAGACACTAATCCAACAATAACTTCCACCATAATAATAATGGGCAAGTCACATTTGATAGGAATAAGACATATTGATGGACTTTTGAACATGTGTGAATTGTTTATCAGTAAATTGGTGGATGGAAGAGAAAAACCTACTTGCTTGAAATACATTAGAAAACAAATGATGAAAGGTTTTGCAAATATATAGAGATGGTATTTGACAAATCCAAATGGCGTTTTACCAAAAAATCATAATGGCAAAACTAAAATATATTCTGATACAAAGGCATAGAAACCAACCATTTGACACTTGATGGTCAATAAATAGATAAAAAATATATCATTTCCAAATTTTCATATATACCTGATCATTTTGTTCCGTTCTATTTTGGATTTTTCTATATAACTCACAGAACAACAAAGAAGCAAGGGTATATTCGTCCAAAGCACCCACTGATGAACATAACGATCTAATACAACTTCAGTTAGACCCTGCGATTGTGTAAATGCAGGCTATGGATCCATCGGTACCATTTTTGTACAATAGTATGCCATGTAAAAAGTGAAATATACAAAAAAATTCAGAAAACTACCTGATGTGATATTAAGGTAGGGAAAATGCGGATGTTGTGTTCTTTTTTACCTCTAACTAGACAAACAAAAGGAAGAAAAATACTCATATAAACAACTAACCATATATGAAATATTCTAAACAACAAAAATCTGAAAAATATTGTTTATAATGTAATCGACTTATCTGAATGTCCAATCCAATGCTCCTCACAAATTGTATGTATATCCAAAGTTTTTTACTTTCTTCCATTTGCCTTCAATAATTCAACAATATCCACTACTCCTCCCCTTGTAGTCGTATCCACACTCCTTTTCCAAGTCCATATCTTCACAATCCTATGATTGCAACACTTGGGATTCAGGTTTCATTATAAGTCAACGTATTTAGTAAATTAGTTGTTATAATATACAAGTTCTACCATTTGGTATCAGATTGTATGATCCTTGCACAAGAAAGTCTCTTATTTTATTTTTTATCGCCCTTCTGTCATTCCTTCAAGCATTTTAAGGAATGCTTGTTGAACCCACTTAACCAGATATATCTCTACCATTATTTAAACTTTCAGCCAACTTAAAGAGAAATGGTGGTGCTGGTGGTGAAAGATTTCTCTTTTTTTTTTCTTTGATAAAACAAAGATATTGAATCTCTAAAAGCTTCATTGTCTCCATAAGTCCACCAATTCCGGACTTATTCACCTGTATATAATCTAATTATCATGAAAAAAAAAAGATTCACATCAAAAAAGAAAATATGGAAGTACCATGATTGAAAAACAAAGAAGATGATGGTGGTGTTCAGGTTGAGATATCTTGATCGATCAGTGATGGTCTTCGTACTGACGACGGTGGAGAATGTGGCGAGGCAACCCTTTGCGGAAAAAGTCATTTGTGGGTTAACATATAGAAGCAAAAAAAGAAACACAGAAATAACACAATAGAAAAGATAAATAAAGAAAATACCAAATTCAGGTTGAAGCGTACTTCAGATAGTGCAGTGACGGACACCACCACGACTCTCCTTTTTCTGACTTATCTAATCAGCGACTTTCACCTCCATCTCAACCACCGTCTAATTGCTCCGATCCTTCTTTAACTGCCATTATTTTATAAGTACTTCCACCCTCCATATATTTATCTGCAATTAAACCCTAAAATCAACATGGAGATTGGGTGAACGACGATAAAGACAATTGTGTAATCTAAAACACCAAAAGTTGAGGAGACTTGTAGAGATGATGGAGACGATACTCATTTTCCTTCCGATAGAGGTTAAAGAGAGGGAGATGATTGACGGTGGATGGGCTAAAGGTGGCCGGATCCAAAATCGATAAAAAAAAGCGGTGCTTAACACATGTATGGACACCAATCTTATTCTTATTGGTTAACACGGAAATGAAGCGGTGGAGACGCACGTTGATCTCATTAGAAAAAAGTAAAAATAAATAATAATTAAAGGTGGTCCAATCAACAACAAGAACTGTTGAATTGGGAACCATCTTTTAATGTATTTATATAATATGTAAAGATATCATTTTTTGTCATTTTACATGTAAAAATTAAGCCAAACATTTTAATTTTTGATTTTTTCCTTTCAAAAATTAATCCAAACACATTTTAAAAAATAATTTTTATAAAAAGTTATTTTATAAAAATGACTTTTCCCACAAAACTAAGCCAAACAACGTCTAAATGATGCGGGTGGCATTCTTCGAGTTAAAACTTTTAAAAGCATAAAAATTGAAGTAAAAAGAACCGGTAAGGCCGGGGGCGAGGCGGTAACACCCGAACGAGCAAAAACAACATGGCCTGTCTCCGAGCGCCGCGGGCTTATCCCATTCACCTGTAGGAGTTACCATATCCAATGAACACAAGACTTTCCGAGACATACAGACACACTCTTTGACCCTTCTCTCTCCATAAATTTCATTCAAATCTCTTTCTAGAAGTAAATGCGCTTCACGCTTCCCCCATCTAAAACTCCAAAATAACTTCTAACAACTTTTAAAAACCCTTTGATTTCACTTCAAATTGCTCCAGTTAGCTGGTTGTTCGACCTCCATGTCGTAATTTTCAAGTCTCTATGGATCTGATTCCTGCCTGAACCTTGGATTCTTTTCAGAGAAGAGGGTTTTCAGTTTGGGCCAATTTTAATTTGACAAAGTATTTGGAGTTTGTCAGTCGATGGTGATATGGGTTATCAAACTTCCGACTTAGGTCCTGATTGAAGCCGGGGAAAGAAATTGGTACTTTTAGTGGATATCTTTCGCGAAATTTGGGGAATATTTAGTTATTGATTGAAGCTAGGGTTTGTCGTAGAGGAGGAGGAAGTATTTTATGAAATCTTGAAGGAAAAATGTTCTATTCGCAGTTTATATTAGCAAAAAAAGGTCCTTTAGGGACAATATGGATTGCAGCACATCTGGAGAGGAAGCTCCGCAAAAATCAGGTTGCAGATACTGATATTGGCTTCTCTGTAGGTAATACATACATTTTTTTTTTTGTTTATGCCCAAATTTTCCGTTGGAATTCTGGTATCTTCCTTCACGAAGAGGTATTCTTAGAACCAAGAGTGATTTTGGTAATCACTTGTATTGAAACCTAAGTTTAATTTCTTTTTCTGTTCTACACATATCTTCGTTGAGTTTGGCTTATTTATTGGAAACCGTTTTTGGTTAGATAGTTTACAAACAGAAATCTCATGGTTTAGCAGTCAATGAGTTGTTAATAAATTCTGTTTGGTTTTGACTTTTGACAGACTCGATTCTTTTCCCTGAGATGCCAATTGCACTCCGGTTGTCCAGCCATCTTTTGCTTGGTGTGGTTAGGATATACTCAAGAAAGGTAAATTACCTTTTTGATGATTGCAGTGAAGCTTTGCTTAAAGTAAAGCAAGCTTTTCGGTCAACTGCTGTTGACTTACCACCTGAAGAATCCACTGCTCCATATCACTCCATCACCTTGCCTGAGACTTTTGATCTAGATGATTTTGAGCTTCCAGACAGTGAGATTTATCAGGGGTTAGTTTCTCAATAATCAATATCCATCTTTTATCGTTTGGTTCCATATCCAAGTCAATGATCTGATGTTTGCTTGCTGATATGAATATTCTGCAGTAATTATGTTGATCATCACATTAGTTCAAAGGAACAGATCACACTTCAAGATACTATGGATGGTGTTGTTTACTCTACGTCTAACTTTGGACTTGATGGTTGGTATATTTGTCTGTTACTAAACAATGTTTACATTCTTTCATCATGCAGTCGTTTGTTTACCGATTCTTATCCCTGTAATTTGTTTATGTTTATAGAGAGATTTGGTGATGGTGATGCCTATGGTTTGGACCTTGATGAGGTAAATATATTCCTCCTCCTCATTGGATCTTTGTCAAATTTAAGTTTGTATTCTTGTTCATGGATGCTGAAAGCTTTCTATCTAAGAATACACTTGTATTATATATATATATATATATATATATATATATATATATATTGTTGATAGATTTGAGTTGTATGTACAAGCAGGAACTATTGGTGGAGAAGGCTGCATCTGCAGAAGATGCTACTGGTACATCGAATTCAGAGTACTCTCTCTCTCTCTCTCTCTCTCTCTACAATATTCTACTTTTGTAATCCTAAGTTGTTATCTTCTATATTTACCAGTTTTGCAAGTTAAATACATACTGTAATTGCCAACTTTTGATTCCTGCACTTCTGCCTAGGCAATCCAAATGATTATGTTGGAAGGGATGAAATGTGAATGGGAATTTATAGCTTAAGATAACAATTAAGTTAAAAGAATTCTAAGCATGTCATGCCATTTTTGTTTAGCTTAAGAGAAGAGCATCCCCAATGGCAGTTTGGAGAATTACTTATCACTATTCCAAAACTACTTAGTGATGACTTATTCCTATTGGACTTGATCACTTATTTGATAGGATGACATCTTATTATACTCAAAGTGGTTATTGGAATAATTCCTTTTTACATTTGTCCCCTTGCTTTAAAAATGAATATTATTTACAGAAGAATATATCATTAAAAAGCATTTGTCAAAACAATCAAACTTTATATCGATATCAAATACGAATGTTCTAAGCTCTAACATAAAAACATCTTTCAATCTCAGTGTTGATCCTCAGGCATCTGCCCAGGTTGATGCATTGTTCAAGTATGATCATAATCAGGATACCCCAACTATTCCCGAGGATATGCCAGCTGGCGATATTATGAATCAGGTCCATAAAAGAACATTAAATTATTTCCATGCTACTTTCAAATCCAAAATTTTAAAACCATCTCGTGTTTTTTTTTTTTTCTTTCTTTTCTTTTCTTTTCTTCCATATCAGCATATAGATGAGTATGATGGAGATAATGATCCAGTTGAGTATGCACATGCTCCATGTACACCTGGACTATGGGAAGAACCAAATTTGTCCAACATTCAAGAAACTTCTGCATATGATGATCATCAAGAACCAGAAAATCATCCCATAACAGAATTTGCAGTGAAGGAAAATTTAGAAAATGACTCCAGTGAGCAACATCATAATCAATTTGAGCCACTTGAGAAATCGCCTCCACACATTGCAACAATTGAACAGATGTCACTTGAGCAATCAACACCACATGTTGTGACAACTGAACAGATGTCACTTGAGCAATCACCACCACACAATGTGACATCAGCAGAACAGATGTCACTTGAGAAATCACTACCACACAATATGACAACAGAACAGATGTCGATGTATGATCCTGGTTCCACACCTTTTACAGAATCACATATGGTTGAGCAAGTTAGGTCAATGTCTCCAATAGCAGAGGTGTCTGAAACTGTTGTTTCTGTGGTTGATGATCCTGTCAAAGTGGTGAATTTAGTTAATCAAAACGCCACATACCAGGAGCCTGAAGTTCAGACTGTAGATGATAACTGTGAAAACCATGTAGAAGAACATCAAGGCATGTCAAACAATATTACTCATGTAGTCAATCATGAGAATGCATTCCACCCTACCATGGAATTGGAATCAAACACCGAACCCTCTGATGAACAACACACCCTTATGACTCCCCAAGATCAGGCCTTTATGCAGCCTAAAGATTCCACAATTCCAGTTCAGTCAACTCATGACAACATGCCGAGTTTTGACTTTATGGGTCTTAGGCCATGTGTCACTCTTTCAAATCATGCTAGTTCTCCTCCACCATCTGAATTTACTTCCCTGCCTTTGCCCTTGCCCTCAGTTGAAACATCTAGGAGGGAGGAACATGAACAGGAACATCCCAGTGGTTATGGAGCTCCAATTTTGGTGCAAGGTTTGTGAAATGAGCTTATTATGCTTGAAGTTACAGTTTGAGTGTTCTCTATTTAATCTAACATAAAATGTATGATCGTTTTTCCAGGGGAAGTAGTGCCACATGCAAATGCAAGTGAACCATTGGAAAGAAACTTGCAGGAAGCATATAATGCTGAAGTTGGTCCAAGTAATGCAGTAGTCCAGGTGGCATCTAGCATACTACCAAACAGACAGGTGGACAATGTAATTGAAAGAGATGTTCAGGTTTATAACACCAACAGCTACACATCAAACTTCCACCCCCCTGAGAGAGTGCTCTCTTTTTCACAAGGGCATGATATAATAGAGGTAGCAGAAAGAGAAAGTAGTACACCCATACATCAAAGCACATTCACATCTAGCATTAGCGTATCAAACAGACAGGTGGACAGTGTAAATGAAAGACAGGTTCTTGTAAATAACAGCAACAGCTACACATCCAACTTCCCTGCCCCTGAGAAACTGCTCTCTTTTTCACAAGATTTACCCAACAACATGAACATGAACATGCTACCAGAAACCACACCCATCATAGCACCACCAGGTTATGGAGGTGATGCTGGAACCAATAATAGGTATTCAGGAAGAAAACGTAGTATCACAGAAAGCTCAATGTCAGCTCAGAGTTTGAATTTCAATTTAAATGAATCTTCCAGTTTTTACACCACAAATACCACGAAAGAATCTTTTCGGGATGATGATTTGTTGTCATCGATATTAGGTATGCAGCAGACTGTTTTGAAGTTTGTATTGGAGTTTTAGTTTAGTTTTTAAATAAGAACAAGGAGATTTGTTTTGTTGCAGTGGGAAGAAACACTTCAATATTAAAAATGAAGACCACTCCTACTCCTACTCCTGCTCCTCCCACCGAGGCACCATCTACAAAAAGAAGGCGGCAATCTGCACCCAAGACTGCAGGAGCACCACCCAAAAGTGGGTTTTCAAAAAGGAAGGTGCTCATGGATGATAACATGGTTTTGCATGGCGAGTATGTTTACATTCTTAATAACCCATGTTGAATGCTCAATATTCTTTTCCTTCTTCTATGTGATCACTGAAAAAGTTTTTTTTTTTTTTTTGAAACAGCACAATACGTCAGCAATTGACAAACACAGAAGACATTCGGAGATTAAGAAAGAAAGCTCCTTGCACTCATGCTGAAATTTCAATGATTGAGAAACAGTTCTGGGAAGATGAACTTTTTGGAAGATCCATAATTACGGGTGAGTTGTTTGTGGACAATTTCAGAAAAATATTATGTTTCTGTTGACTGACATTGTGTTAAATTCTACAGGAATGTCAATCAAATTGACTTCTTTGCAGCGTCAATTGTATGATATAAGTAAAATTGTTGTCTCCCAATATGATAATGCTTCTTTAGAAGGTGTAACACACCAAAAATCAATTTCCCAAAATCATGAAAAGGACACACAACCGGAAATGGTGACTGAAAACAGGGTTGTCTCTGTTGATTTAGATGTTCCTAAAGCAAACAAAGATCATGATGATGATAACTTTGATCCTGTTCCCATGGTAATAGATGTTTCTGAAGAAGCACAACCAGTCGATGTTCCCAAAGAAGACAGAGATGAGGATAACTTTGATCCTGTTGTTATGAAAGATAAAGATGTTTCTGAATCACAGCCAATTGATGTTCCTAAAGAAAATAGAGATGAAGATAACTTTGATTCTGAATCACAACCAATCGATGTTCCTAAAGAAAACAGAGAGGAGGATAGCTTTGATCCTGTTGTTAAGGAAGATAAAGATGTTTCTGAAGCACAACCAATTGACAACAACACACATGATATTGATAGCAATATCAGAAATTTAGATTATTATGAGAATCAAGAACAGATGCATACAACTGGTGATTTTACCGAACTCTTTGGTCCAGAACATGATATTTTGGAGCATGCTACTGCAATGGAGATCGATGGCAATAGCTTTCAAGATGCTGATGTTGGAGTTTCTGTTATGCATACCGAAGTTGAATCTGAATCACTGACACATACTGATGTGGCCCCAAGTGATACGAATGACACGTCAGCAGCATTAGCACCGGTTGAGGTTGAAAAGAGCAGCCAGATGGTTGCTTCTCTGCTAATGGGCCCACCACCAGGTTTTGGTACATATGAAAGAATAGATGTACAGTCTGCTGCTGCTGTGGTGGATATAAATATTAATCATTCTACTGAAAGCAATGTTGCTTCTGAAAGAAAGGTTGATGATGAGTCAGTAAGAGAAGAAATACAAGAAGTTGTTTTAGATGCTTCCACTACATTCTCCTCTGAGACAGATGGCTTAAAATCACACATTGACATTGATACCCTTGATCACGACACTGAAATCAGGAACAATGAGGAAGAGATTGTAAACAACAACTTGGTCTCCAATGGTGATGTCTTTAGTGAAGCAGTTGCAGCATATGATGCTGTAGACAATCACGTCTTGGAAGACATTTTATTGGATGAAAGAGAAAAGCCAGGTCATGATGTTGCTACTACTATTCCAGCCACTTCATTGAATCTAGAAGACAACAGGGTTGATGCTGATGCTGATGATGTAAGACAAGTTATTTATTTATCATTTTTGCGAGTTTTAGGTGGTCTTTATATAAAGAATGATGTTTTGAAAGTTGTTATTTTGGGTTGTTGGAGCAGGATTATATGCATTCTGGAGTTGCAAATGATACAGGTTTGCATCAGTTTCCTTTGTTTCTGAATGTCTCAGTGTCATCATATATCCTTACTGTTATTGTGTGGTGGGTGTTTGTTCAGATTTTCTGAATTTTGATGATGTGGATGATGACGAGGCTGGAGAAGCTGCTGATGATTACATGCCTGATGGGGAAGAAACAAAGATGCTTGACAACACTGGATGGTCTTCGCGTACAAGGTATGTAAATAGTTATTGTTTATAAGTATAAGGTTTGCGTACATATTTAATTATTTAATTAAAAATAAAAATATGGTATGGATATGGTAGGGCTGTTGCAAAATACCTCCAGATTATGTTTGACAAGGAGGGAGAGCGTGGAAGGAATTTGCTTGGTGTGAACAACCTGCTAGCTGGAAAAACACGCAGGGAAGCTTCTAGAATGTTCTTTGAAACACTGGTGCGTATATTGTATTGTATTGTATTGTATGCTCCCTCATATCATAGGATTATAAAGAAAAGAAAAAAGTAAAATACAAATGTATATATTTTATTGCAGGTTTTGAAGACAAAGGATTACATCCATGTGGAACAGACGGATGCGTTTGAAAACATAAATGTATTTCCACGTTCCAAGCTTTTGAAATCAGAGTTTTAAAGGAGGAGGAGAGGAGAAGTTGATTGTGGTTACTTAGATCTTTTGTTTATGGTCTCAAGAGAGTAAATTAATTAGTTATGATGTTGTTTTGGTAGTTATAACATGGACTGGAGTTGAATAGATGAATCATGTAGCAAACACACACATTTAATGGTTGTTAGAGGTTGTCATGTAATGTTGTACGTATGGATCATGCATATTTATTTGTAAATAAGCACATAGAGTTAATCCATGCTAATTTACTCATACTATTGCTCTCCTCTTTTGGTTTTGCTTGTGTTTGCCATTTTTAATCTTTCTCATCCACCTATTAATTTTTATTCATCCGATTATGGTGTTACAAATTCGTAAGGTGCGTTTCACATCATATATAACATGGGTCTGTATTTTGCTTTTAAAAAAAAAAAGTAAAAGTTAGGAGCCTTTAGCTAAAACAAAAAGCTTAAAATCCAAAAACTATTTTAAGTGACGTTTAACAAAAAAAAAAAAAAAAAGAAGCTTAAAATCCAAAAACTATTTTAAGTGATGTTTAACAAAAAAAAAAAAAAAAAAAACTCTTTTATAATTTTGCAAATCGATTTGATTATATATTTTTTTTAAATCAATATGATTAATATAAATCATTTTACATGTTTTAAAACTTCAATTATTTTTTCCAAACACTCGTTACAAATAAAAATACAACAATCGATTTTCAACTGTTATATAATTTTATTCAATTTTGTCCTTGTAAGAAGGTAATTAAGAAAAACGCATTCTTCCTAATAAATAAAATTTTTTTTGCCACATGTCTTATTCTCCTTCATTTGGATACACGATACTTTCTAGAATTTTTGAATTTTTTATTTTCCACTGTCATTTTATTGTATTTTTCATTTTATTAAATTAAAATTTTATATTTAATATGTAAGGTATTTATTGAAAATGGTTTATATATGTAATGTAATAAATACATTAAAGCCTCGTGAATTTTAATAATTCAAAATTTTTCTTATTTTTCTTATAAATTCAAACTTTTCAAATTGTTAAAACTTTATATTTAGTTTTTTTTTTTTTAAAAATAAACCTATGTAATATATGAATCTCACATCTACTTACATTATATAACACGAATGATGCAAAACATACGTAATGAAATAAAGAACTAAGTTGTTATTTTAGAACATGATAATACAAAAAAGACTTATGGATGAACATTTAAAAATACTATTTTTTCTTTAAATTGATGTAGCAAATGATAAAACTAGAGACAATTAAATCATCAATACCAAAATTGTTAGATATCATAACCAGTGCATTCTAACAATATCAACCTTTCACTACTATGGCAATATAGAATAATTGGATAAGACTTTTTTAAATTATAGTATTGTAATAAAAAAATTTAAGGTATAATAATATATTTGAAATAGAATGTCAAAAAAATTAAAAAAAGAAAAAGAAAAGGTAGAGTTAGACCTAAAATGTAAAATGATGCACATGAATTAAAAAGAAAATGGAAAAAAGTGAAATTGGTGGGTGCGTGCTTTGTATATAAGACAGACAGACTACTACAACCCTCTCCTCCTCCAAAATAAATATCTCCCCAAGTCCCCCACCTCCTTTCTTCCTCTTTCTTTCTCTCTCCATTTTCTCTCTCTATTTCTCTCTGTTTCGATTCCCAAACGCCGAGAGTCGTAGCAGAGACTCGCCTGTTCTTCGATTCAACTCCGACTTGGTTTATGAGGTATCATTTGTTAGACCTGTTAATGTCTCGTCTATCACTTTTTCATTCGACAGATTTTCTTTCAATTAATTCGTCTTTTTGGTATCTTCGCCCCCCTTTTTTAGATTTTCAGATCTGTTCTTCGGTTCTTGTGTTTTAAATCGGTCAAAAGCAAATAAGCTTTTATGATATCTCGTGATTGGTTCTGTGTGGAAGCGGAACTAAAAGGGTTTCGTAGATTCGATTGTGTATGTGTGTGTGTGTGTGTGTTTGTATGTGTTTCAAATCCTTAAAGATTCGAAATTACTGATCTTTTTGTTGAACCAATGTTTGTTACATAAGTTTTTCATGATTTACGCTATTTAATGTGCTAGACACCAGGTTAAATAGGTTTGATTTTTTGCGTTTTTGGTTTCTTGCAATACACCATTGTCGTTTACCTTTTCTATGCAATTTCTTTTATCTTTTATATAACTGGATCTTGAATTGATATTTGGTTTTGTATTTTTGCAGCTCGAAGGAGAAGCCCACTCTAGGGTAAGTCATCTCGCTATATAGATACGTATCAAAGTTTTTATTGCTTTTTCATCCCTTATTTGATATTCTAAATCGACCTAGGTAAAGTGATTTCAATAAAGATCGTATTCTATCCCTTTAAGGGTTTCTTCATACATGACTACTTGAATTGTCTTTAATGCACTTTCGACATTTCCCCCCTTTAAAGTCCTAACTTGAACTTTGACGGGTCTGGTGGGGTAGGTGTTTGGTTGCATCTAATTTTTTGAATGACTGGTTTAAATTTCTGAACAAGACGCAATCTTTATTAATCCGTTAATTTTTTTTTTCCTATAAAGTTTCCATTTTGTTCATAATGCCTGCGTAAATAAATCTTCAAGAGTTTATAATTGTTTATTTATGCCATGTGTACTTACAGTGGTCAGCGGATCAAGACCCGCAAACGGAATATTGCAGCCCCTCTGGACCCTGCAGCATTTGCGGATGCAGTGGTCCAGATTTATCTGGATAATGCTGGTGATCTGGTTAGTATCCATTTATAATATCACATCATAGCTTTTATACAATTCCAACATCATCATCATCAACTCTTTGATTTACAAAATCTGCAGGAATTAATTGCTAAGTGCATTGAATCTTCAGACCTTAACTTCAGCAGATATGGTGACACTTTCTTTGAGGCAAGAAGCTTTGTTCCTGAGTTCCTTGGTTTCAGTTGTTCTTTTGTAGGGTTATTTGCGTCATTTGTTGAAATGCATGTTTGTATTTTCAGGTTGTGTTCACTGGAGGGCGTACTCAACCTGGAACAACAAAGCCTGATGAGGGGGAGAGGCACACTTACTCAATTCTAGACTGTGAGGCAAAGCGTGAAGTGATATTGCCATCTGTAATCTACATTCAGAAGATTTTAAGGCGAAGGCCTTTTCTGATAAAGAATCTTGAAAATGTTATGCGAAGATTCCTTCAGTCCCTTGAGTTTTTTGAGGAGAATGAAAGGATTAAGCTTGCCATTTTCACAGCACTTGCCTTCTCACAGAAGCTGTCTGGTCTCCCACCAGAGACAGTGTTTCAGCCACTTCTTAAGGATAACCTAGTTGGGAAAGGACTTGTTCTTACTTTCATCACAGACTTCTTCAAGGAGTATCTCATTGATAATCCCCTTGATGATCTCATCTCCATCTTGAAACGTGGCAAAATGGAGGATAATCTGCTTGAGTTCTTTCCTTCTGGGAAGCGATCTGCTGAAGCTTTCTCTGAGCATTTCACGTAAGTACTTTTTTCTGTTTCTATTTGTTGTTGAGGGGTAAAAGGGTGATTTGTATTAAGGAAAGGTATGTTGAATGTGTATGCAGTAAAGCAGGGATGGGTGCTTTGGTTGAATATAATGACAAGAAGATCTTTGAGGTGAAGGTGAAGGAAATGAAAACAGCATTGACAACTCAGATATCAGAGGAAGTTGATATATCAGAAGTGATTGAAACAGTGAAACAGCATGTGAAGGATGCTAAATTGCCTGAGATTGAGGTGGTGAGGATTCTGTGGGATGTTCTGATGGATGCTGTTCAGTGGTCAGGGAAGAATCAACAGCAGAATGCTAATTTGGCTCTGCGACAGGTAATGTGATCATGTAGTGTGATGATGATGATGATGATGATGATGATGATTGGGGTTATGTTGTGCAGGTGAAAACATGGGCTAAGTTGCTCAACACATTCTGTACAAGCGGAAAGCTTGAGCTGGAGCTGCTTTACAAGGTTCAAGTTCAATGTTATGAAGATACAAAACTGATGAAGTTGTTTCCTGAGATTGTGAGATCCCTTTATGACCAAGATGTTCTTGCTGAAGACACTATCCTTCATTGGTTTCGTAAAGGAACCAATCCAAAGGGAAGGTATATATAATGCAAGGTTTTAAAAAAAAAAAAAAAAAATCTGATTTGGTCTAATTGAGGGTTTGGTTTTTGATAGGCAAAGCTTTGTGAAGGCATTGGAGCCATTTGTGAAGTGGCTGGAGGAGGCAGAAGAGGAGGAATAGATGTTTGTTATGTGATATGATTCATGACTGCTCTACTGTCTTAATGTCTTTGCTTAAAACTTGATGTGTGTTTTTTTGTTTTGTTTGTTTGTTTGTGTACTTTATGATATGTCTCTCTGATGAATTGATTCGAATAATCTGTGTTTGTTTACCAGCTTCTTTATATTTCTAATATGTCTTGCTGCTGTTGCTTACATGTATTATTGATGGAAAACAGAGGCTTGACATGGGTTTCTTCCCTTTGTCTTGCATACTCTAGTTTTCTAGTAAGATGGTGTAGTTGCATACGACATGCTGATGAAAACAAGTGTGTGATGATGGCTTGTGTACTTCAAAAATGCCTTTAATATATGTAGGACAAGGAAAACATTTGTGATTATGTACATAATTTAATTTTTGGTAGAGTTACAGGAAGAAAGGAGGTGGGGGACTTGGGGAGATATTTATATACAAAGTACGCACCCACCAATTTCACTTTTTTCATTTCTTTTTAATTCATGTGCATCATTTTACATTTTAGGTCTAACTCTACCTTTTCCTTTTCTTTTTTTGAATTTTTGACATTCTATTTCATTTTCCTGGTTTATGATATCGAGGGTGGTTTTCGACAACAAAGGTGATTTCCGATACCGAAGGTGGTTTAAGGCAGCGGCCAAAAACGCATACCCGAAACCACATGGACTGTTTGTGTAATTTACTTTATTTGTAGTTTGTAAAAAATGTAATAATTTAATTTTTGGTTGATGTAGTATTTAAATTGCATTTATTATACTTTTGAACCATATATTTTCAGTTTAGAAAAGAATAAATTATATTTTTGACCTATGGTTGATATGAATTTGTAGGTTTAGTCCCTGTTTAAGATAATTTCATAGGTTTTCCAAATTATCCATATATATTTGAGCAAGTTACGTTTCTAGGGTAGGTTTGGTCAAACCTTTGAAAAGTTAACAAACTGCATCCCTCTAGTTTTTAAAAAATAATGATCTTTTTGTTTTACATAATTAGAAAAGTTTTGTTAAATATCTGTAAAAAAAGCCCAAAATAAAACAAAAAATTGCTTGTGGTTGAGTTTTTTGAAAGAATAAACCTACTGCCACCTGCAAAAAATCATATCAAACTCACAACAATCGGCGACAATGCATGCATAAAATGGCAAATGTTGTTGACGCTACGATGGCAACATATGGTAGTGGTGGTGTGATGTAGAGGACGAGGATAAAAGAAAAGTGAAGGCGAAAAATGCTGTTGTGATTTCCTTCTTGATGCACATTGATTTTTGGATAGAACCGACCATGGTAAGACGATGAGTGGAACACATGTTAGTCAAATCGAAAGATAGAGTGGAATAATAGGTTAATATTTAGGGGTTTTTTCATTTGTTTATTGCATGATTAGTCCCTCTAGTTTATGAAATACAAAGTAAGGGGTATATTGGTCTTTTAACAGCGTTTAACAAGAGAGGCCAACAATTTAATTTCTCCAAACCACAAGTACGAGACTTATTAACTTTTCAAAGATTGGACCAAATCTGCAAAATAGAGAAAAGCACAAGGACCATTTCTGTAATTTGCTCAAGAATTCTTAACGCTAGAGTAAAACGCAGGACGATTACTCTTGGCTTTCATCATGTTAAAAAAAAAATCCACTAATGAGCTTCTGCAATTCGTCAAAGTCCATCAATAAACCCGCAACTCTGAAGTTTGAAGTTTCCGTTTCTTCAGTTTGGTCCTCCTATTGAATGAGATAGTTGAGTATTTCAAGGTAATTTTGCTACGTACCCGCTCGATTTTTTTTCCCACTCAACTACTGGGTTTTGTGTATAGAATTTATCTTGTCAGTTACATATTTTGATTTGAGGGCATTAAGTTTCTTTCCTTCCACAATTCACTCTTTTTCAAAACTAAATCCGTTAATGGTTTTTGTTATACAATATTGGCATATCCATAACCAGTGTCCTGTGGGAAAGACTGTAAGAAAGTAAGGTATTGATATGGGTGATTTTTGGTAGGTCGAAAAAAAATCAAATTCGGTATGATGATGATGCGTATTACAAACTTGGAAACAACCGCGTTCCCCCGATTATTGAGTTTTGCTCCTGCCCGATTCTACACTGTCTTTGCCTTTGCAAGAAGGCCTAGACGTCGAAACTCATTCCTCTTCACAACCAGTTGCTCAACTGATGTGTCAATCACCATTGCCACTGACCACAATTACGGGAATAAGCAAGTTATCAGTGTTACTCAAACCCTATACGACTACTTGCTCACCAACGTTAGAGAACCACCCGTAATAACCTCTCTCTCATCTCCCACTATTCCAACAAACTTATTATATATCACTTTCACTTGCAAGAAAAAAAAAAAACTAAACAAACGATTTTTTTTTTTTTTGCTTTACAGATTCTGCGACAACTTAGAGAGGAGACTGCAACAATGCGTGGGAGTCAAATGCAGGTATCCCCTGATCAAGCGCAACTACTTGCAATGCTTGTCCAGATTCTTGGGGCTAACAGATGCATTGAAGTTGGGGTCTATACTGTAAGCATTTTCATTTTTTATTTTTTTAATTATTTGAAGTCTCCTCCTTTTGGCCTCTAATCTAATGTTGTACGTAGGGATACTCATCACTGGCTGTTGCATTAGTCCTACCAGAATCAGGAATCTTAGTTGCTTGTGAGAGGGACATCAACTCGCTCCAGGTTGCAAAAAAGTATTATCAACAAGCAGGAGTTTCACACAAGGTAATCTTTCTTTTTCCTATATTTCCTTTCCTTTCCTAACATATATTTATGTATTATATTAGGTGGATGTAAGACATGGATTAGCTGCCGATACCCTAAACTCAATGCTAGAGAATGGGGAGGGTTGCAGCTATGATTTTGCTTTTGTTGATGCTGAGAAAAGAATGTATCAAGAATACTTTGAGTTGCTGCTTAAATTGGTTAGCAACATCGACTCTCACTCTCACTCTCTTTAACTTCATTTGTAGCTTCACATTTTGTCTTAAGTTTTACATGTTGATTTTGTAGGTGAGAGTAGGTGGTGTTGTGGTAATTGATAATGTGCTTTGGCATGGAAAAGTTGCTGATCCCATGGTAATGATTTTCCGTATTGTATTTATTATGTATATAAACACAAGCATCATGACTAAGTTTTATGTTTAGAAATCTTATGCTATGTTCCTTCTTTAATTGTGTACAGGTTAATGATAAGAAAACAGAGAGCATAAGAAGTTTCAACAAAGCTTTAATGGACGACAAGCGTGTTACCATTAGTATGGTAAAATAAAATGCACCATTTGACTTGCTTTATAGTTCATTAGTGCAAACTTTGGACTAATATTTTTGTTTGGGGTTTTGTTTCTAAGGTGCCAGTTGGTGATGGCATGACAATATGTCGCAAGAGATGATTTCTTTGGTTCAAGAAACAATTATCGAATCAGAAAAGACATATCCATAGTAGACTAATGTGTTCGATTAAGATTTAAAAAACATGCCTCATTTTTGTAATGTGTAGACTGGTATATTGTTTATTTTATTCCTTCTAGTTCATGAAATGATGTGATCATAAGTTCCCTATTGGAAGTATAATCTGACAGAAAAGGGGGAAAAATGTAAAGATCAAAAGGAATATATGAATGTAATATATGGAGTTAAATTGATGTAATATGAATATCTACCTTCAGGGGTCATTACGAACACTGTGAAGTAAAACCTGAGCATGCTGTAAAAGAGCATTGATTTCCTCATTTGAAGCATCAAGGAGGCGAAGTTCTTTGATTTCATCTTGCCATTTTTCCATCTGTTCCTTGTGTATTCTGTGGGCATGAATGAGGTTTCATTATAAGCATACAACAACTGTAAATGTTTAAATAAACTTCATTTAAATGTTCCAACTCACGCTATCATTCGTTCTTCAAATTCAGTAGTCAATTCTCTCAGGAATGATTTCCCAGATTCAAGAAGTTCAGACACCTTTGTAAAATAATCAAAACCAGCTTAAAAAGTTAATTCATACATTCAAGAATGTGTAATGTGATTATAACATTTTGGTGATGATTAATATTTGATGTGGTCACCTGCTGAGTAAATTGATCAATCTTTTCAAGAATTTGGTTCATAGAAACCTCCATGTGTTCAGATACAGGAGGATTTGTCTCTGTATCTTCTTCTGCAACCTCTACTATTGCTCCATCTACTACATCTGGTGATTCCTTCTCTTCAACCTGATGAGTGAATATCATAAAGTAGTACCCAAGAACAAATTATTAATCTTCATTTGCTGTAACAAACGGAAATGATAAAAGTTAGGTTCCAAGAAGACATACAGATCTCATACGTTTCCTCATGGTTTCAGCCCTTTCCATATCCATTTGAAATGTATTTGTCGAAGACTGGATAAGAACAATCATAAACCATCAACCATGAGAGATCATGTCAATAAAAGTTAACAGTAACAGGTTACACACATATTGTATTTCCTAGTGTTTTTATGATAAAGAGAGAGAGGGATGTTTGGATGTGAACTGTTTTGTAACTACTTACATAAAATATACTTGTATTATATACAAGAAATGTTGTTTTTCTCCCATTTGTCATTTTTATGGCTACAGAAAACTAAATAAAAGGAACACTTCTATACTTCTATTGATATTGCTAAATGCAAATCACAAATTCTGCTTCAATATATTCTAGATACAAATCTAGAAAAAGACTTTGGAAAAAGAAGACTGATCAAATTTAAAAAAAAATCTGGTCAAACATAATAGCAGAATTGTTCTTTTAAACGAAGAAAGTGACTCTCATGGTTTTGTCTACAAATAACAAGAATGTACAACAATCTAGTGATCAACTTTCTTTGTTTTCCTAATGAGATATGCAAAAATGAAGGTCTACAACTCTACATGACAAAGGAAGTTTTACAGCAACATAATGTGAATGTAAAAACGGAGATGGGGCACAAGCGAGCATGAAAGAGTTCCATCAACTGTGCAACCAGAGACACAAATTTCTCTCCAGAATCCAATCATGATAAGAATTAGAGGAGGTTAGGGAATCATTTTCAGAAAGTTGGAAACCCTAACTTATTGGGGACCAAGTCTAACATGAAAGTAAAGCATGCGCTTACCATCACTTGCCATAATTGTTGATCGGATTCCATGTAACGCAAAGGCATACAAATTTGTGCACTAGTTTGCGTATGTTCTTAATCAAATCCTTTTCCGAATATATCAACAGTGATCCTTCTAATTGTAATCTTAAATGAGTGACTAAGAGCCTCACTCTAACAAAATTCCAACCGAAAAACAAATCAGTATACACACACGCACACATCTGCACAATCTACATCAGAAGCAGAGCATTACATCTCGAATGAGAGCGGCATAAAACTTTTGAAATCGTTTGGATCTTCGTTCAACAATTAACGTCTGAATCATCTCGAATTCATAACAGAAAAACTATATACGGGCATTAAGTACATCAGTGAACAAATAATAAGACTCCTATATTAGGCACTGATTTCACAAAATAGGCAAAAATCACTAGAAACCAGTGAAAGCAACAATTCCGGTGAAGCACTAGACAGAACTAATGCGTTTATCATTGGAAACCAACGTACACATAATGCGAGTCACGATGCTTGATGCTTCATTATCATTGGAAACCAACGATCAGATCATATACCAATTGAATTAGAATGACAAAAAGCAGGACATAAAACTTACCTTACAAAATAGAGAAGTTCAAAGGCTTGATTTCTGATTCGCTGGAGTGAAGTCGAGACGATGAATGAGCTCTTTTGAAATTTGCCAAACACACTCGTTACTTCCCGCGTTTCCAAAATCCTGTTTGGGTTATATAGAGGCGCTAAATGCGTGGAGCATTAGGGCGCGTTTGTTTCACACGTAATGTTTTTGAAAGGAACGAAATCTGTAAAGGAATTAGAATCTGGAGGAATTTGAATCTGATTGTACTAGAAACTTAAATGTGTTTGGGTGACATGGAATAGAATCTGTTTTCTGTTTGGTTTGCTGATTTCTCAACGGAATTGGAAAACAAATTACGTATTATGACAAAAATACCCTTTAATGTTTTTTTCTAGCTTATCATATTTTTTAATAAACATGACGAATTTTTATATAATTAAAAAAAAATTGAAATAAAACCATTAAATATATAAATATAAAGCAACAAATGTCATTCATTATTCTCAATCTCAAATTAAAAAAAAAAAAAAATAACCACACACTATATAAAATAATGTCTAAATACCTAGTTCATAATCATATCATTCTTCCAACATAAACCTCACAAAGTTCTCCCGATCTTCTCCTTCCAAATTCCAAAAACTTAACACGGTTTCAGGGTCACGCATTATTTTCCTACTTGCTTTGAACCTATCAAAGGCACTTAAAAACTGCATTTTTGAAATTTCTGGAATCACCATTGAAGCTTTTTTTTTGTACTTCTGTTTCTCCTAGTATTGCTTGGTTCATGCTATTTGCTGCTTTTTCAAGTTTTTCTCCAAGGGTGTTAGCTGCAATAGTTATTCCCTTAATAACTGCATCAACTCTTTTCCTCTTCTTTGAGCATGTGTTTGGAGATTCTTCATTTTCTGTGGTTTGTTCTTCAAAAACATCTTCTACTTGTTCTGATTGCTCTTCATTATTTGCATCTTCTTCCATTTGGGAAAAATCCTTGGCTTTATTCCCTTGAGCTCTATCTTTTCCAAAAATGATACATAAATCCTCGTAATGAGGAAATATCTTATTTCTCCATTTTCATGCCTCTTTATGAACCTATTTTGTATCATAAAATGTTAGCACATAAAAATTTAATATAAATAATTGAGAAGTAACAAAATACATAAAAGTTATAATATTGTACCTGTATGTAAGAATCCCAAACTGCTGATTCAGCTGTTACAGAATGAGTGGAGCTATCATAACCAAAACCACTTGTGTTCGTACCATTTACCATATCATAAACAACTTGCCAATCTTTTTTCATGGTTTTGATCCTTGACTCAATGTGGGGTTTACCCAATATGCCAGAGTTAGGAATTTTTTCCTTTAATGCGTTTTCTAGATGCAGTAAATATCCAGATTTAAAACCATTATCGGCTTTATATCCTCCCATGTTCACCATATTTACCAATGCTTCCACGAGCTTGGCATCTTCAGTAATTGTCCAGTTGCGATAGTTTCTGATTTTTTCCATCACACCTACTATTTTCATAAACATAATAACTAGATGAAACAATGCATGCTATAAAAAAATACACAACCATATATATAACAAATATAACCAGTAAAAGTAAATTAAAGCTCATTATTAAAAATAAAAAATGTAGCACAAATTCATAGTAAATGATAAACATAACAAAAATAGAAATGATCAATGTGTAGTATTCCAAGAATCAAACATATTTTGTGCTAAATTGTTTCTAAATGTGGTCCACTCGGTTGATACACCAACAGAAGTGATATTATCATAATCTCCACCACCGACATCTCCGGTTCCCTCGTCTAGTTCAAAGTGGTTCTCAAACGGATCAGTTGTCATTTCTTGCCTTATATAATTATGAAGAAGACAACATGCCATTATGATCTTATTTTTTAGATCAATAGGATAATATGAGTTGTCCCTTAAAATTCCCCATCTTGCCTTTAAAATACCAAAGCATCTTTCTATAACATTTCTTGCAGATGAATGCCTCATGTTGAATAATTCTTTAGGTGTAGTTGGTTGGTGTCCTGCACGCCAGTCATTCAAATGATATCTTTGATCTCTATATGGGGCTAAGAAACCTTCACCATTTGTATAACCAGCATCTACCAAATAATAACCTATATATGTAGTATAGTTAGCATAATTAATAACTAATACGTATCTAAAATAGCAATTATTATACGTACACGGCCTTGGGACCTTCAATCAATGTGGCCTAAGTAAGGCATCTCGAAGCACTCTACCATCCGCAGCTGAGCCCTCCCATCCCGGTAAAACATAAATAAATTGCATATCTTGTGAACACACCCCTAGGACATTTGTGGCAATATCATTTTTTCTTGTCCTGTACTTAGGCTTATCTTTAAGTGGCACTAAGCACTTTATGTGTGTTCCATCTAAAGCTCCTAGGCAGTTCTACATAATATAAGAAAAGAAATGGTCATATGTCATATCAAACAATTTATGTAGTACTCGAAATTTTTTATTAGTCTAATATATACCTTGAACCACTTCCATCTTTGATCTGTAGAGTTTTCTGTAACAGGTTCCGGTTTCTTAAGCAAATGTGGATGCAACCTTATCACTACGTTGCAAACTCGCGAAACAAGTTTGCTAATTGTTTCTCCAGAACGCTGGAAACGACCTATCATGACCCGATTCTTCACATTATGTGCAATAATATGAAGAAATATGGCCACTTGTTCATCAATATCCATATATCTACTTGTTCTTAACCCACCTAGTGTATGAAGCATGTCACACAACTTTGTGAAACATCTTCGGGTCATCCTGAGATTTGATATGCATGTAGTGTCACTTTTGTAAGCGTATTTGTGCATTATTGATTGTCGATCCACATCCGACGATATGTTTTTTATACGTGGTTTACCTCCTCTGTATATTTGTAGTAGCTTGCACACCGTGATAAAAAACCATGTAATACTAGTCATAACTTCATTCCAAAATGTAACGACTATTTGACTTATCTTTTTTCTATGTTTGCTTCTAGTCAGACTAAGCCGTGCCATTTCCTGCTCATCTCCCAGAAAAGGAAAATTTTACAATTTAAAGACATAATAATTGACATTGTTGTGGATTTTAATCGTCAACAAATTTGAGTTTTAGTAGAAATTTGTTTGATTTTTGTCTCATCTTTTCCAAGAAAACAAACATAATGGCAAAAGGATTGAAAACAAAAAGTCATGCCGGTAAAAAAAAAAAAACACCACACAAGCAAAAACACAAACACTTGGTGTGCATACTTCTACTTACAACTAGTACATGTTACCAACAGTAAATTTCAACCACAAAATTAACAATTACTTTACTTGAATGCTTAATTGCAGTTACATCACATAAAAGAACACATAGTTGAATTGTAGTAGGATGTTAACAATGATAATTAAAGCATTCTTATTGATGCGATACTGCCGGCACAACAAATATCCAACGATTAAAAAAAAAGCGGCCAACATGCGTTTAACAAACAATCACAAATTGAATAAAATATATATAAATGTTATTTGAAGAACGGTAGATGATCAATTCGATATTTGCTTGACAATGAAAAGGATGAAACAAAGAATAGGAAGAACAACTAACCTCAGGCAACAAAGGTCTGCATTATATTTATTTTAATTAATGTATATTTCTTTTTGTTATTAAGAAATTTTATTATTGTATTATAATAGGACAATATGTTTTTTCTGAAAAATCTATCTAATTATAACATTTTAATATTCATTATGATATATTATGAAAATCCAGATAACTCTACCAACAAAAAATGTTTTTTTTATTTCGATAGCAACACTATAACACTAACTAGATGAAGGGTTATAATTTTTAAATAAAATATTACTACATGAATAAATAAAAACGCGAAGGTATAATAGACAAATGTTGCTTTTAACCCTATAAAAAACTAATTATCTTCTTGTAAGTGTTAGTTTAAGTTTATTTCTATATGTAAGTAATAATTTAGTTACCGCAAGATAATCTTGTTTACAGTATATTTTAGATTTTTAATAAAAAAATTATAACATTTTAAACGATGTCAATTCAGATATTATATATCTAAGGCTAATTAGAAAAAACAAAATATTTTTTTTATCAATCCAAAATAACATTTTCTTTTAGCCATTTAATGTAAGAAAGTTATTAAGATTTTTAATGAAATTTCATATGAAATAACCGAAGATTTTTATTATTGTATCAATTATTAAATGGTTAAACACATAAATTTTATAACGGAAAACTAATTATCTTCACTTTTTTCCATAAAACATTTTCTCTAAAGAAATAATAATAATAATAATAATAATAATAATAATAATAATAATAATAATAAATAGATGGGGAACCCCGCGTTGCGGGGGTCGGATGCAACAGTTTTTTCTGTTGTTTGTTCTTTGAAAATGTTTATAGTTTGAATTGCTAATTCCTTTCCTCTTTAACTGATCTATAAATAAATAAATAAGAAATAAAAAAACATCAATGAATCTGTAAGTAAAACTAATAAAGTGACAATGAAGGAACATATAATGCTACAAATAATCAACGAAAGTAGAGGGACCAAAAAAGATAAAAATGAAACAACTTTAAAATGATCCAAATATAGTTGATGGATCATTCCTATCAAAAAAATATTAATATGACTACATACTAATAATATATTGGTGTTAGAAAAGGCGCAACCTTACCCATATAGCGCATTCAGCCCTCCAGGACCAAGCATTTTATTGCGGCACTCCAGACCATCGTGCGGGGACTTGGTCGATGCCATTTCTGACCCCCAACAATCCCCCCCTCAAATATTGCTCCCTGAGAGAATAGAACCCTCGCCACTGGCTCTGATACCACTTGTTGAGCATCAGCGCTACCGGTTGATCTAAAACCAATTGGTGTTAGAAAAGGCGCAACCTTACCCATATAGCGCATTCAGCTCTCCAGGACCAAGCATTTTATTGCAGCACTCCAGACCATCGTGCGAGGACTTGGTCGATGCCATTTCTGACCCCCAACAATGTCGGTTATGAAAAATTCAAATGAAAGTGAAAGAATTGTTTGTGAACAAAAACATAAAGGTGAAGGGTGAATGTTGTAACATTAATTGAAAAAGAAATTCCAACCAATCAAAACAAATAATGCAACAATTTTTCATAACTTTAATATATAATAATAATAATAATAATAATAATAATAATAATAGTAATAAGTTTGAGCACTGAAAAAGAAAACCACAACCAATATTCTTTTTATTTTTACAATTTGTTCTGATAGAAAAAAGGGGAAATATACATGTAATTCTATTTTTAAAAATAGCAATAAATATTTAGTTTTAAATAATAGATTGCTAGTATAACAATCTTATCATCACCCTAAAAAAATGGACATGTATTACTTAAAAAAAGAAATATTTTATAGGAAGAATAAGAAATGCATTTGTATGATTTTTTGGTGAATCAACAAAATAAATCTTTATATAATACAAAAATAATATGATTTGCAAAAAATTTCCAAAAAACTCGTCAATGATTCATTAAAGTTGTCTGAAAAATAAATCAAAACTTAATTTAGTAAAAAAAATGAATCATCAAAGTTTATTTAAGATTTTTTTATAAATTGTGTTATTTTTGTATCATCTAATGATTATTTTTATTGGTTGATGAAAAACCATGCAAATAATGCATTTCTTACCCTTTTACCTAACATTTACTTTTATTTGATATTTGATTCTACAATTGTGTATTATATATTGTAATTAGCTCTCACAATTAGATCTAACACTTGGAATTTGGAAAGTAGAAATACATTTTTTTTAATAAGGTAATTACGTCCATATGAAAACACCTCGTTCGATTTAAAATTGCACGTTTCATCCCTGACAGATAATTTTATTGCAAACTTAGTCCTTGCCATATTTTAAATGATCATAATAACCTTATGTTTTTTTTCAATTAATTTATTATATATATATTATCATTTCAATTAAATAATAAAAATAAATACCCCATCACCTTCACTTTCCCCAACCTATCCACCTTTGACTGTTACCGATCGGAGAGAAACATAAACATACACACACACATATAGTTATTGGCCATCCTTCGACGAACCTTCCCCACCCTTTCACTACGCTACTAATCGAGAAAATAAAAACAAAAAAGACATAGACTCGATGAGGGGAAAGAGGAGACCTACAACTCATTGATGGTATTGGATGGGTGACGAAGTGTTTATCGTTGGTGGGTTAATGACGGTCGAAAAAGAGTGAGCAGGAGAAGGAAGAAGGAGTGGTGTCTTTGCCAGAGAAAGAAGAATGAGGAGGGAGCGCCAAGGAGGAATTAAAGTGGAAAGCCTACGACGACTAGGGTTTTGGGTGGTTGTCGGAGTGCAGATTTGTCTACAACCTCCTTCACCTCCAAGAACATAGGGTTTCACGAACATGATTATCTCCATTGATTAGGGTTTCAAACCGACTGAAG